AGTCCCCTTTTCCTTAGCGTATGTGTCAATGTGCTGATGGTGGTGGTTGTGGTAGGACTTGAGAAAGACGTACATGTTTGGACCCTCGGACGTTGATGCGCCTGATCATGAGAGAACTCAAGGATGTAGGAGAGGGCAGCGCTTCAAGCCGTTGCTCTCTTTGTTTAGGGGTAGTCAGGTGCGGTGCTGAGCCTTCTTTCTCTCAGAGAAGAGGACGATTCGCATCGACACCGCCCGCCCCACGACTTGAAGACTAGTTACTACACTCGTTCACTATCTATATCTATACCTCGATATTCGTATTTATGTATTGGTGAGTCCTTCGCTGCTTCATCCAGCTTTAGGCTTATTCATGTGTTTGCTAGGCCACGGTTGATCAACGTTCAACTTTCGAAGACCTATACCCCAGTCTCTTATAATACCCGGCCCAGATGCCACCACTATATACCAGGATCGGATATGCTTCTACGGAAGGTGTGTACTTTGATTTCACCGCGTTCATCAAGAGCAACTTGAGGCTGATGTGCATTTGAACTTAGGTATCGACTCATAATCCGCCGGAGGTGCTATTCCCAATTCTGTGCTTGAAGCGTCGTCCTCAATGTTGATCGAAGTGGACGCAGGTCCAGTCATACCTAGGCACAGAGAGATCTCTGGCAATGTTAACTACTCGTCCGCTGGCGCTGGATGCCAGCTCGGCGTTCCATCTAGCGCCGTTTTTTCTGACCTTGATGTGTCGCTAGCTCTCTTCAAGCTCAATGAAGAGATCAGGCCTTTTGAAATCTCGGATGGTCACGATCGTATTTGTATTATGTAGCCCAATGTAATGATGTTGCGTCCTATCACAAATCCTACAAGTGCCTTAAAAAAACGAAACAACAATACAGCGCTTAGAAAACAGATAATAAGTAATAATATAATGGAGCACGCGCTATGCGCGGCTAATAAATCCTTCCAACGTCGAATAAGAAGGTAAAAGTTGAATCCCCAATGAACCGAAGTGTTTGTGAAGTGAATGATGGCTGAGTTGAATGAGGTGTGATGCATGATTGAATGAGTCGTTGAATGTCGTCGAATTGGGGCATGATTCTAAAATGGAGACTACTAAATTGGATGAGGAGGAGGTGAAGAACAGCATGAACATACATGAGTCGTTATCCCGCATTGTGAACCAAGAGAACTCTCAAGCAACGACGCAGTACGCATTGTTCCCGCTGCCACCGTCATCGGCATTGGTTGGGATATCACTGGAGCCAGAGACGGAGGCGAAGAAGATGGCGAGGGTGGCGAAGGAATCCATGAGAGTAATTTCGGGAGAATGTAGAGAACAGTGAGTTCAAAAGATGTTTAGGACGCGGAGCAGCCTGGACATTTGTCGTTGAACGTTGCTCCCTTTTAAACTCGACGGTCATCTTGAATCTAATGCTCCGGAGGACTCGAGTAGATCTCTTGATAAGAATTGTCCGAGTCTTATTGTCAAAGCGTTCCTGCACCTGAAATATGCTAGATCATGAACATAGAACAATAAAAGCCAACGTTCGGGACTTACAAACTTTCCAAGGCATTTCATATGGTTACCGAGAAACAATAAAAACCCTGATGACGTCACGCGACCTTGAACTTCGTTCCAACGCCCATGCTCGCCCCTCGCCCATGGTTTAGTTTTGCGTTCAACAGTTGTTGTATAATTAATCAATTCGATGCATGCGGCGTTCAACGACACAATAATCGTGTAATCGAGTCACCGCTTTTGTCTTCGTCAAGGCTTGAGCAATGCAGTCAGAGTCTTAAGGGCCATAATCAGAGGCCTCGGTGGATTGGGAGGTAGAAGGCGAGGGGTGGAAAAAAGAGTAGACAGAAAGGTGAAGTCGCCAGCTTATTGTGAATGCACGATTTGTCGGAAGCTGGACTGTGGACATGAGCGCGGCTTGAACTCGACAGATCGTTCAGGAGTGCTGCTGGGAAAAGGTGAACCTCAATTAGGATGCAACCCAAAAGAAACAAGCATGCATAAGCGTTTTCGACGAACAGCGGTGTGTAATGAGATGAAGAGGGTTCTCGGAGTTGGGTTCGAGCCAAACGGGTCTTTCGGACCAATTCGGACAGAGTTTGAATTTTTGTTTGTTTGGCATTGCGTGAGCCAAATTATTTGACCACACATCCAATTCGATTCCAGCGAATCAGGTTCTTTGGTTGTTACTACTGTACAGCCGTTTGCATAAGTCATTGAACACTTCGATTTTTTTTGCGTCGTCACGTGCCAACTTTCCCGTAGCCAAACAAATGATTGATCGAGTAGATAACGCGCGAAGCGATTGAACTCAGAGCTCACCTCTTATACTCATTTCTCGAGCTGAACACGTTCCTTCCTATCGGAAATGTGTTTTTCATCTCGGTCACCAGATAAATAAAATATATTGAGCACCTGGACGCAAGGCTTCAGGATGGTGAACGAGGCAGTACAATGCGCGTTGATTTTTCGGCTCAGCTTCGGATTTGATAAGTGAGAGCAAGGTTGACAGGAAATAGAAAATACCTTGTTCGAGGTGAGTGTAGCTCAGGTAGGAGTCTGGGACTCGATTATGGACGAAAGTGAGCGGGCAAAGGGAGAGGAGTGCAGTAGAGCGCGCATTATCTCAACGTTATCTACTCGATCAATCATTTGTTTGGCTACGGGAAAGTTGGCACGTGACGACGCAAAAAAAATCGAAGTGTTCAATGACTTATGCAAACGGCTGTAACATCTAACGGTTATTGCTACTATCAGTGCTGCTGGCCACTCACCATCTCCTTCAAAATTCGCCTCTTAGAAATTGCTAAGCGGCTCCAGAAGCGGCGGTCTAGGACGCGTTGTTTGACATGGGGAGCGGAGTCGAACAGGTTGAGGGCGGTACAGGGGGATCCGTACCCGAAAAAATATAACAACCCATCTTGCCAACGAGGTTCGTCTCGGGGGGTACTATTGTAGCGAAGATCTAGCGAACGGGAAGGATGGTGTGATACCCGGTCGGGAAGACGGGAAGATGTCGGTGAGTTGGGGAGTGTAAACGAATGGCAGGAGCTTCGCTCACGTATTCCTGAGCTGAGCGCAGCTTGACACAATCAAAGAAGAGCATGACCTCCGTTGATTGTCGAAAACTTTTAGTCCGGCAGGCAACCGGCGGCCTGAAGACAGAAGAAGTTCATTGACGTTCAGTATCCGCATTCGAACGTCACACCTGTCGTGGTACGGTGGGGCGATGTGCACTTGGCTAAACTGGGTCACTCTCGGCAAGTAACTGAGGTTGATCTCCCCCAGTATTCATTGCGCGATGGTGAGCCGACTTTGCAGATACAAAATCTCCTGGTAGCTAGGACTTCACGCATACAGGGTGGACATGATCCAGAAGCAGGATCAACGATGAGCCTGTGCATCGAATTTATGCGGCCACGGGATTACCCCATCACTTTGCAGGTTGACTTTGTTACCGGCTTTGACTATAACAGTCTTTTCAGTTTTGACTGGACGGTCCTGCCATCCCCCACTTTTTCCCATGCTCTTCGGCGTCACGACTTCGCTGCTGGCTTATGCCTGCCTAGCTACCGCGGTGACCACCTTTACCGTTCCACAACTTGCAGGCCAAGATGACACGCCCGCTTTACTAGAGGCGATGAAGGACCTCTCTTCGGATTCGACGATTTTATTCGAAAGCGGTATCACTTACAATATCTTCACGCCCATTCAATTCCCCGAATTAACCAACGTCGAAATTCGTATTGAGGGAAACCTAACATATCCGACAGATATACCGACAATACAAAGTAAGTTTTATTTGCTAGACTTTGAGTACCCCCAGATAACCTTCGTCGTCAGAAATTGTGGGTGCGGCGGTAAGATCAATTGTCCTCCATCTCCTCGATACCGAAAACTAATGGCTCGTTGTAGGGTTTTCCTGGCTCATGGATCACCTTCACTGGTGGAACCAACGTGACGCTTCAAGGCTCCTTGGATCCTCATTGGGGATGGATTGATGGTCATGGCCAAGCGGTGAGTACCCGATCATTCTACAATCTGCGTGATCTTACCCATATTTCAGTGGTGGGATGCCCAGAATCAGATTAATCGTCCGCATGGAATTGCATTTAGCCATATCAACAATGGCGTCATTCGGGATATGAAGATTTGGAAGGTATCGTCTCATCTTTCTCAGTGATGACCTCTATATTGAGGGGCACCTCTTCGTTTAAAGCCCATAGCGTGGAACTTCGCAACGAGCGGTTCTTCAAATATCCATGCGTTCAATAACACGATTATCGCTGTGTCGAGCACTCAGGTACGAAGGCTATCTTTCCCTCGCCTTCGGAAATAGTAATGACGCATTTATCCAGTCCTTCCCATTCAACACGTGAGTGGGCTTGACGTTCTCTATTATTTGGTCCCACTTACGACACCGCTTGTGCTTCATTAGCGACGGTGAGCGCCATCGTTTCCGTGGTTTGGTAAATTGACCGCTCCGTTGCCGAATTACATAGGGTTTTCTGCCGGAGGATCTAACATGATCTTCGAAGACAACTTTATCCAGAACGGCGACGACTGCCTTACTGTCGGAAGTGGCGCGTCTAATATTACCTTCAGGTATCTTGCAGCAGTCTTACCCTGTTAGCTCTAATTTGTGAACGACTCCGTAGGAACACCTATTGTGAAGGCGGGCATGGACTTTCGATCGGGTCCCTCGGAAAGGCTGGTCAAGTCGCCAATGTGCAAAACGTCCTGTGAGTATATTCGATGTGTTTCATTGGCACACGAACTCATCGTACCGATCAGCATTGAGAATATCCAGATGGTTAGTCCTCATCGTTGCCTAATATTGAAACCAAATATGATCTCTGCTTTCCCCCCAGAAAAACAGCTTATATGGCGCTCGATTTAAGAGCTGGGCAGGCGGCAATGGTCTCGCTCGAAAGTAAAGTCTTTCTTTCTCCGACTTAATATTGATGAACAACCATATTTCAGTATTACATGGAGGAACATCGCCTTCGTCGACGTTCCGTTCCCCGCAAGTGCTCTGCCTGTACAGTTTTTGCGTGTTTTCTAACCATTTTTCTATAGATCTACGTGACACAAAAGTACTCTTTCTATTATTGACTTTCCTCTCCTTGATTGATCGGTCGCGCTAGCTATTGGGATCCAGGCGTGAGCTATTTAGAAGTCAATTTTACACTTTCCAATCTCCTAAATTTTATCTAGGCCGGTCCAAAACCTAACTCTACAAGCAGCAACAACACCCATATTCAAGACTTCGTGTTCGAAAATTTCACAGGCATTATAAAAGAGTATCTTCCATCCATTAGCTCCGCTTTTCATCCATCCTGACGCTTGACAGTAAACCCTACGTGGAAGGGTCATGCATTACCAATCCCTGCTGGTTTGGTTTTCACCCGAATAAATATGATATGGTCTCACTTTGGTTACTAATAGGTACGCTGTCCCCGGTGCGACGGGGAAAGAAGTCATTATATATGATCTTGCTCCCAGCACCTGTACGTGACCCGTTCTTTCTCTGCTCTTTTGTCTTACTTTGAATGGTAGCCTCGAATATTGTCGCGAAGAACATCGTCGCCACCACGCAAACATACGCACCTGCAGCCGTTATGTGCGACCCCAAGGCAGTGCGTGATACATGACTTTCTCGATTAAGGCGGCTGACTAGCAATCTGTAGATAACCTACAATACCGGTTTCAAGTGTTGGAATGGCCTATATCTCTCGACCTCCAAGTAGGCTGGTTGGTTGATCAATTCATATTCACTGTCAACCTCCGTATCACCATTCAATATTCACCCATGGTATAACATATGGTTGTTGTTATTCGAACACTTCATTTATTTCGGGAGGATTTGACCAAGGTAAGAAGCCGTCGGAGGAGACTTACATCTCTTTAATTCAAATGAAAGCTTTTTACAAGACATTCTTCAGTTCAATCGATACCAAGATACGCTCTGCTTCCCCCAAATACCACTCTTGAATCATGCATAGACGTGATCGCTCTCCTCGGCGTCTGGCACTCTATTTACGCACAAATTCCACGTACCTTTCTGCCCAAGAGTGCGATGAAAGGTGTGTCTAGGCCGGCAACGTGAGCCTAGAAGCAGGGAACCGTCAACGAAACACACGTACATGGAAATACCAACTTTCTTCATCAGGAAATTGGGGTAACGCATCCGCTGGTGCGTCCAATGTAGCCCGTATGCGCTACTCGCCCGCATCAGTGGAAAATATCTCCGTGATTAAGGATGGACGGATACATGTGGAACAATCGTATGTCTTTCCCTCAATTTCAATTGCGTCTGTCGGAGCGTATTCTCTATTCCTTGCTTCCTGAGAAACTTCTCGAAGGGTTTTGAATTTTCATATAATGCGTCCATGTCGGACGATATAAGATACATCATCGTTTCGTCACCTATTGGTCAGTTAGCGGGTGTGTTCTTCGTGGGGCCATAAGTTGGTGTACCAAATTCTTGGATATGTCTGAGAATCTTGATTATTTATGCTGGGTGAATGACATGCGACGTGATTAGAGGTTCAGCATTTACCTTCTCCTCTTTCGCCATCTTGCGGATAACATTTTGAATAGCGGCCTTCCCTGCACTGGAAGCACGCCCGTCTTCTTGAGCAAAAAACCAATTCATAAAGTAGCCAACGATGGATGCCGTCCTTGTGTCAGCAAGAAGGGGAGCCCAATCGCTTAAAAGGTCGCTCAACCCAACGTAGTTGGCGTCCAGGATGTTTGAAACTTCAATGCGGTCGTACGGAGGTTTAGCCTTCAATCCCGGAATTTCATCATTACGCAGGAGTTTTGAGAGACCGCGGGCATCCACTGGATAAACGTTAAACGTGACTGGAAATTGTCGAAGACGCTGGTGAAAAGTACGCAGCTGCGCAGTAAGGAAGAAGTAGAGACAGCCATATATGTCTTGGGGAGTTGCCCCATGCGCTTTTCCGACTTCCGTGACTTCGCCCAAACTGCGTGGTGAACATAAAGATTTATACGAAGATGAGAAGATGAAAGGCTCACTCCCAACCTTCGAGGGGGTCAGCGTAGTCTGTCTGAAGCCACCTTCCCTCGAACGAGAATAGCGAGAGATTCGGGACATTGAAGTGAGCGTTCAATGCGCCAAACGGAAGTACAATACCGAAGCGGCGAAATTCGTGGAAGGCGACACGGTGGGGAGGCTTCAGTTTTGCGTACATGCGCTCATGAAAATCGCGGCGTGAAGGCGCGTTCCTTACTCGGTCATATTCGTCTTGTATTTGACTGATAGAGGTGTCCATAGAGCCGTAGTGAACGAAGTACCGCATTGCCTCGTTGGGAAGGGCAAATGATATGGTCGAATTGCGACCCAAGGGGCAGGAACATACGATCATGAGGCTACCTGGCGTGGTTTGCGGTAAAATCAGCGAAGTAAACATGGCTGAGATTCTCATCCGATATTCGTGGGGCATGAACGTAGAGTACCAGAAATGGAGTGCAACGTCGGCAGCCAAATGTTCATCCGAAATTGTCCCCAAGATGAGAAGCAAAATTATGTTGCGGCACACGATAGGCAAGCAACAATCATTGATTAAAATGTTGAGATTTCCTGAAAAGTCGGAAGGAAGGGAGTTAACAGTTCGGATGACATGTCGAAGGTCTCCTGAGGCTTTCAGGTGAGGTGGTGAGCCGTTGCTGAATGGGAAACTGGTAAATTTGATTCTTACCAATGAACGCAAGCGAAAAATTTGTCGTTAAGTCCTTTTCATTTTTGGGTAAATTTAGCACGTCTATTGCGGGCATATTTCCCCACCTGTAGTGTCGAATAAGTTCAGAGGTTGAGAAAGAAGGAATGGTACCGTACAAAAATAATCCGGATGAGAACTCGTCCATTTGTTTCCGAAGGAAATCCTCAGATGGCGATATCGCATCGAGGAATGAGGCGTGACGATGCTCGATGATCCAAGCTGGCTTCCAATCTTTAGCCAGCATAGGATCCCTGCAATCTGAAACATGACTCCCGTTAGTAAACTACCAAAAATGTTTGTTCGCCCGCACCTCTCTTATGAACGCGCCAATGATATTTCTGGCATTCCTGAAATTTCGATGAGAAAAAAGCGGAACCGAAACTGAAAGAAGAGCACCTTGGAGCAATAGGAAACCAATTTACAGCCACTGCAAGCCATCGTACCTGGATTATCGCAAGCCTTGTATTTTTCGACCTCGACATTTGCGCATTGCAACCTTTGTGGAATGGGAAATCTCGGGGTTTGGTTCTTTGCAAAGGAGTTTATCATCTGCTTCAGGACGTTATCAATGCCTCCACTTTCATCGATCCCATCGAAAGGAGGTCCCCCTTCTGTCCTAGGGTCTGGGGGTATGACGCGGATATTGGCGTTCTGAGCAGACATGTTATCGCGATAGACCTGCTCAGCATATTCCCTCATCTGGGGTGGGAGCAGATTCGAGAACATGTTTGTGAGTTTATCCATCAGAGAAGAAACCTAGCGGATAGAGAGTGGGAGGACAAGTTGGGGTGCGAAGAAAAGCGAGGGCTTGATCTTCATGTATATCGATAAGCGCCCGAAGTGCATTTCGAACAACATACTGCCTGCAGGCAGGCATGTGTCTGGATCGTAACCTTGTTTAAAGGAACTTTTAGAAGTGACCGTCCGTCGCACTGTGTACAGCACACTATTTATTCACGAAAGGAGGGTCTTGATATTTCTTTGATGGTTCTATGTTCGAACTCCCAACTTCATCGTCCAGCCATCCATGGTATTTCCTTGCAACCTCGAACGTCAGCATGATGTAACTTTTCAAGGTGTTCCAACTGCCCAAACCATATCAGCGGAGCAACATGGCGAAAAAAGCGCTCGTCTGCGGCACGTTGGCTGACGAAATTGTGATGGGGATTCCATTTTCACAGAAGGTTCCGAATTTCGAGAGTCCGAACCGCTGCCGATCCGCCTGTCCGCCTGTCTGGTTCGCACGGCACCTGCCGCCACCAAACACGGTCATGAGCCTCTTCACCTTTGCGCCATTCCGTGGCATTCGTGCGTCGAGTCTCGACACTCATTGTTACAAATTTCCATTGCAAAGCCTAACATGGGTGCCAGCAATCCAGTGCTCAACTGTGGGATGCTCAACCCACGACCCTCATCCACATATGTTAGTCACGTTGTGCCTTACCTAATGGAGTAGCCGGACGTGACAAAACACCATACTATATGGGCCCAGCCGGACGGCCGGAATCTTATGATGTGCCTTTAGTGATGGTGCGGCCGCGATCCTTACAGGGACTCACTAGCACGCGCCGGCTGTCCTTTTCACCAACACCGTAGTGTCTCACCGGCGGTCCTGATGCATGGTATCGACCGGCGGGGAAATTTGCGGTGCACCCTGTCCTCTGGCAGCACAAGTTGCGGTGTACCATGTAAACATAGATGGTGATCATACATAGTGATAGGCCTGCAGTCATCAGTTAAATGTCATGAATGTGAGCCATTACAACTGAAAAACATACTGAATGATTAATCACAATGAGAGTCCTACTGCAAGGTGATGAGATACTGTAATTTCTTTTGAAACACAAGCAGCCTTCATTAACTATTGTCTATAGCATGTCCCCCAGAAATACAGCTGAATACAACACACCAGCAGAACACCTTCCAATAAAAACACATTGCCTTTTCATAGGAGACACTTTTTAAATAGCTGTGTTGGAGGTCCAGATATATATAATGAAGCTCTGTTGCAGCAGTGGAATTTTTTCAAAGAGGCTCCACAAGAGCAATCTATTTTTTTCAAATGGCACTGCAGGCACAATGTATTATTTTTAAAAATGGCACCACCGGAGCAATGTATTTTTTTAGATGACACCGCCGGAGCAATGTTTTTTTTTTTTATAAATGGCACCGCCGGAGCAATGTATTTTTTTTTCAAAAATGGCACCGCCGGGGCAGTGTATTTTTCTTAACAATGGCACCGCCGGGGCAATGTATTCTTGTTTAAAATGGCACCACTGGAGCATAAATAGCACCGCATTTTTACAAATGGCACCGCCGGAGCAATATGTTATTTTTTAAAATGGCACTGCTGGAGCAATGTATTTTTTTTCAAAAATGGCACTGCCGGGGAAATGTATTATTTTTTAAAATAGCACCGCCGGGGCAATGTATTCTTGTTTAAAATGCCACCACTGGAGCATAAATAGCACCGCATTTTTACAAATGGCACCGCCGGAGCAATGTATTATTTTTTTAAATGGCACCGCCGGAGCAGTATATTTTTCTCAAATGGCACTGCTGGAGCAATGCAATTTTTTAAACAAGGCTCTGCCTTTGAAATTGCTCTGGCAGAGTAGTCCTTGCATATTTTTTGAAATACAAAAATCTTGTTTAGGGCAAAGAACACTAGAATTAAATAGACAGTTGATACATATGATTACTAGTAAATGGGCGGTACTGCTGAGGTTTTCTTGTTTTCTTCTGCATATGTTTTCTATGGGGGGACTAAGTGGTGGATTGCAGAGGGTAGATTGCAGGTGGTAGATTGCAGGTGCAGGGGATAGATTGCGGAGGGTATATTGCGGGGGATAGATTGCGGAGGGTATATTGCGGGGGATAGATTGCGGAGGGCATATTGCGGGGGATAGATTGCGGAGGGTATATTGCAGGGGATAGATTGCGGAGGGCATATTGTGGGGGATAGATTGCGGAGGGTATATTGCAGGGGATAGATTGCGGAGGGCATATTGCGGGGGATAGATTGCGGAGGGTATATTGTGGCTGCGGTGGATAGACTACAGAGGGTAAACTCATCTGGATCCTTCATAGGGGTTTGGAAGCCAAGTATATAAACCTCTGTACATGCTCACAAGTGTGTTTTGAAGAGTCACTTATGTGAAATGTACCTTTTCACAGATTGTTTCAGCTACACAGAATGTAAAAATGACTGTCAACCCACATAAAAACCACCTGTGGAAAGCTGGAGAAAGCAGGATTTGAACAAGTTAGGCCCAACAATAGGTTTCTTAGGAAAAGAAGAAGTCTTGATGGTTTTCATTGTAAAATATACCTTTTCACAGATTGTTTCAGCTCTGCAGAACATAATAATGGCTGTTACCTCATGTAAAAGCCACCTCTGTAAAGCTGGAGAAGTCAGGATTTGAACAAGCTAGGCCCGACGATAAGTTGTTTGGGGAAAAGAAAAGTCTTGATGGTTTCTATCATAAAAAGTACCATTTCACAGGTTGTTTCAGCCCCGCAACATGTAATAATGACTTTTGACTCATGTAAAAACCACCCTTGAAAAGCTTGAAAAAGCATAATTCTAACGAGCTAGGCCCGATGATAAGTTGTTCGAAAAAAAAAAAAGTCTTGATGATTTTCGTTGTAATGCCACAATGCAGTCAAGGTTTGATAGAGATTATCAACATAAAACCCTCTTTTCTGTGTTTGTCAACAAAAACAAAACATCTCTTGAAGATTTTAACATGGTAATTACCATGGCATTGAGGTCTATCAGCTGGCTGGTTTTCAGGTTACATGGATTGAAATTGGGTGAGTGTGTCGTTGTTCGTTGGGATGCAGGGTCTGTTTGCATGCAGCAGAGGGTCCGTGCACCAAGCGCATCACCTCAATTTGGAAATGTCTCAGGCACAAACTGAAACTTTGATGGTCCCTGCCCGGCAACAAGCAAGATAGCTGTACCATCCTCATTGCCGCAACACCCTTTTCTGGTCCTGCATAATGCATACTTGGTTACCTCTGGCTATCAGAGCCAGAGCTCATATTAAGAGAAAGTGTGCACAGCTAAGTCTGAAGTACCATTAGATTGGTGGTATTTTTGGGGCAATGTGTAGTGCTTAGCTTGGCAGGGTGTTCTATGCAGTGGCTAGTCCAGTGGAGTATCATAAAGAAATGACACCGCCGGCAGAGCACCATTTGCGGAGGGATTGTGTACTCAAATATATTTTCAGTATAAATGTGTCAAACATATTCTAACAGGCTATTATACATTTTCTTAAATGGAAGTGGAGGCAATGTGCAGTGGCTGGTCTGGTGGAGTATCATGAAAAAATGACACCACCAGCAGAGCAATATTTGCAGGGGGATTGTGTACTTAGATATTTTTTTGGTGTAAATGTGTCAAACACATCCTAACAGGCCATTATAAATTTTCAATATAAAAGCAGAGACAATGTGTGGTGGCTGGTCTGATGGTGTATCATAAAGAAAATGACACCGCCGGTGAAGCAATGTTTGTGGAGGTATTGTGTACTTAAATATGTTTTCAGTGTAAATGTGTCAAATATATTCTAACAGGCTATTATAAATTTTCAATATAAAAGCGGAGATGATTTGCGGTGCCTGGTCCGGCGGCATATAATAAAAAAATGACACCGCCGGCAGGGCAATATTTGCGGACATATTGTGTACTTAAATATGTTTTCAGTGTAAACATGTCAAAAATATTCTAATAGGCTATTATAAATTTTCAATATAAAAGCGGAGGTGATTTGCGGTGCCTGGTCCGGCGGCGTATAATAAAAAAATGACACCGCCGGCAGGGCAATATTTGCGGAGGTATTGTGTACTTGAATATGTTTTCAACGTAAATGTGTCAAACTTCATTATAATTCTTTTTCTATTTTTGCGGAGTCAATGTGCGGTGGCCGGTCCGGCGGTGTATCATAAAAAAATGACACCACCAGCAAAGCAATGTTTGCGGAGGTATTGTGTACTTAAATATGTTCTCAGTATAAACATGTCAAAAGTATTCTAACAGGCTATTATAAATTTTCAGTATAAAAGCGGAGGCAATTTGCGGTGGCTGGTCCGGTGGCGTATCATAAAAAAATGACACCGCCGGCAGAGCAATATTTGCAGAAGTATTGTGTACTTAAATATGTTTGCAACGTAAATGTGTCAAACTTCATTATAATTTTTTTCTATGTTTGTGGAGTCAATGTGCAGTGGCTGGTCCGGTGGTGTATCATAAAAAAAATGACACCGCCGGCGAAGCAATGTTTGTGGAGGTATTGTGTACTTAAAATCTGTTTTCAGTGTAAACGTGTCAAAAATATTCTAACAGGCTATTATAAATTTTCAATATAAAAGCAGAGGTGATTTGTGGTGGCTGGTCTGGTGGCGTATCATAAAAAAATGACACCGCCAGTGGGGCAATATTTGCAGTGGTATTGTGTACTTAGATATGTTTTCAACGTAAATGTGTCAAACTTCATTATAATTCTTTTTCTATGTTTGCAGAGTCAATGTGCGGTGGCTGGTCCGGCGGTGTACCATAAAAAAATTATATAACTGGTGGAGCAATATTTGTGGAGTGATTGCCTTGCTGGTGTACTGAAATCCTTTTGCAGACTAAATGTGTGAAGCTTCTTCCAACTAGTGTTTAAAGGTTCAGTCCATAGGACCGCAAAAAACCGGTGGACCGAACTGAACCGGTCCATGGTCCGGTCTTTTTTTCGGTTGCAGTTGCCCCAATTTGGGGTTGGTCCGGTTGCCGGTTGCCTCATTTCGAAAATATATTAAAACCGTTCAAAGACCGGTTTTGATCGGTTGCAACCGGTTAAACGGTCACGTGCGTTACATACCCTTGTAACCACGTTTATTACCTTTTATTGGGTTTTTGTTTCATCAAAAACGGTTAAGAATTGAGAAAGATATAACCAAATCCATATTTTACCTGAGTCTCTACAAGATGTAATTCGGTTTCAGTCATAGCTATGTCAAATCTTCATTAAATCTCTTCAAAATTGGTAGAATGACGGGTATTTACATGCTTTACTATTTCATATAACCCGTTTATTTTTCAGAGTAATAATAGTCAAGATACAAATGGTTTATATTGGTATAATACATTATACGAAAAAAAACCGGTCTGGATCGGTCTGAACCGGCTCCATAGACCGAAATAGACCGGTCCTAGGTGGTTCGGTTCGGTTCCCTCAATATCTGGGTCGGTCCTAGACCGGTTGCGGTCCACGGTTGCGCGTTTTGGGGGCAAAAAACCGGACTGAACTGAACTTGCGAACATTACTTCCAACAGATCATTCCAATATGCATAATTTCTGCAGAGGCAATGTGTGGTGCTTAGTCTAGCAGAGTGATTCCACTCAAATTGTAGCAAACAGCATACATAGGTTGATAATATTATGCATGATTGGTATAAGCCAGACTTCTAATTCTAAGTATTCAACTGGATGATCGCCACCGGCATGTCACCAACACCCCGGTGGAGGGCAACCCCGCAGAGGGTTATGACATTCAAGGTACACCCAGCCGCTCCAGTGGTGTGGGACATTGTTGCTGATGGCCCACACATAGTTACTGGTGGATTGTTCAGGGTCCAGCTGCCCCTTTGACAATGGGGTCTGGTAATCAAACCGGCCGTCCAGCTAGACCCATACCATTTGATGGATTGTCAGGGCAGGGTGGCCCATTACTAATGAGCCAAGGTGACTAACCTAACTGCCTCATCGCCAACGCGAACCCTGGTAGTGTTTGGAAGTCCGGTCTCATGACTGGAAAAAAACCGTAACCAGACCGGACCAAGACTGCAAAAGACCGGACCTGTGGTTACGGTCTTTTATTTTTGAGATGTTAAGACCGCAAAAAAACCGGTTAACGTGAACCGGTTTGGACCGGTTTGGACCGGTCTTTTGTAGCCCCTTAAATACCCTTTAAAACGCACCCGAGAACATACAATTTGGTAAAGAATCGAGAGAGATATGAATTAAATTGTAAAATATTTTTGGAAATAGTAGATGTACCAGATTTATTTTATAGAAACACCAATTCCTAACCGAATTTAACGTTCTTGGGCTCGTCTTAAAGCCAGTAGACATGTTAATAAATTTACTGATTCATAATTTCAAAATATTAGCCTAAAGACCGGTCATAGACTGGTTAAAACTGATGCAGACCGAAACCAGTCCAGTCTGGTCTTTTTGACTTCTGGGAAAAGGGTAGACTGGTTACAGTTGTGGTTAAAGCACCTGGGCATCAAAAGACCTGACCAGACCGGACTTTCAAACACTAAACCCCGGTGACCAGCTTGGCTTCGATTGGAAAGGTGCTGATGGCAGCGACATACACTCCTTTGCGTTCTTTTGAATGAAAATCACTGACCATCTCCTAGTGGCCTCATAATATTGGCCCAATGCTTACATATTTAGCATCTTGCAGGTCGACGACCTGTGATGAGTTTGACACACAAACCGCCAAATAGTTCAAGATTGACCATGTACGTGGTGCTCCTGGCTCTAAGTTTCTCCCAAATTGCGCTAACGACCCCCACTTATTTACAACAATGTCCGACTCCCTCACAAGTGTACTAGTCACATCCAACCTCGCGCCATGAAACTACTTTGTCTGCCATGAAATCATGGCTCTCCATCTCACCACATCACTTGGCGGTGCGGTGTTCTATCCCACCTGTTTGCGGCTCACGGTTGGCGCATTGGGCACTGGGGTCCCTGACCCTTTGGGGTTGGTCAGTTTGCCAGGCACGTACAGCGACAACGACTCTGGTATCTTTTATTCCCAGATGTTCGATGCCAGTGCACCATAGTACACCTTCCCCCATCCTCCTGTCGCTGCATTCGTGAACAGTGGCACTTTCACTCCTGGTAACGCAACCACAACCACATCTTCAACGGCAACGGCAAGGTGGTGCTGCTGGGATGTCGACAACCTCCAAGGGGAAGATGTGCATGCTCAAGAAGGGCAAGTGTGTGAGGAGACAGTATGGTATCTCATAGTAGAATATTCCCTGTGCAACGGAAACAGTTCCTTACTCACTCATCACGCAGTCACACGTAGTACAATACCTCTAGTCACGCTTGTTACTTCTTCATCTTACTACTTTCTTCATTTTCGTGCACGCTTGCATTCAGAGTATCGTCTTCACGACTCTTCTTCAAGCTTAGCAAAGGAATTGAGTAACAAGGTGAGTAGCTGATTGTGACTTCGTTAGGAGAACTCGTGATTCTCCTCAATACGCGCTTATCGTATCCTTCCATCCTACTTGCTAGTAGGATCTCACTATACCTCCCTGTGGCTTTCCGAGAGAGGAGAGTTCAGCTACGCTCGTGGTATTCCAGAGCGCAAGTAGCCACTCGCTTAGCGTGATCCTTCTAGACCTTCCTTTTAGGTCTATTCGCAAGGTCATCACACCAAAACATGAACCAAACACTTCCTTTAGCTCACCAGTTGTGTACGTCGTTAAGAACAAGTAACCCGAATCCCTCGCTACCTCGTTATAGGTTCCTGCAAAGGTGGACACTGTGGGATTTAACGACAGCCTTGTCGGCTTAAGCGCAACTACAACGGAAGAAGAACTCAGGACAGAAGCGAGTGGGGGACGATCCAAAGGATCGAGACAACGGAAACCTCGTAGAGGCGCTCCTCCTTCCTTGTTAAGTCAACCTACTCCTTCCGATCGCTCAAGATCTTCTTCACCGTCTAAATCTAACAGAACTTCAACAACTACTACCCTACCCAGAAGTTCTGTGTCCGCGAAACCGAAAACGTTACCCACTACAGCGACTCCTCAACCTTCCAAGAACGTTAAGAAGCCTCTTCTGACTTATTTCGGCGAGCGTGACGTTTTACCAGACGTAGCGGCATCCCTTAGAAGGAGCCAACCGTGGGAAGGTTGAGCAGCATTCAAGCATCACCGCTTCCTTCCTCGCTCCACTTCAACTACTTCCCATTCCTCTTTCGGTTTCCAACCTCAGTTCCCGTCTCCAGAATCTTCATATACTCCTAGCTCCTACCGAGCTTTCGAATTTAAAACTCCTGCCCCTATTTCACCGACAACAGATATCAGCGCACAAGGAGAAATTCTTCCCTCTTCCTCTATATCTCAGCAACTCGGCATCACCTCTTCTCCAATCGTAGAATCAGATCTTGCCGACAACGACACGTTAGACATGAGCTCCACCATAGAGACCACTTCGTCGCAAACCTTCCGTCCGGAGACAGGCAGAGGTTACGAAGGATCCCCCATGGCACGGCTCATACGTCAGTTTAAGGAGTCAAGCGATGACAATATCTCAACTTATCAGCGAGTGGTTAACCTTTCCGCAAAGTCTAGTCTATTATCTAATGGCGTAGTGGAACTTAGAGGGTCGCAAAGAAGTTTTGCACTACATCCTACGCTTCTAGGGGACGTTACTCAGTTAGTAGGAGAGTTACAAGTTTTCCTGGAATGAATGTCTGCTTTAATTCCTGAAAGGAGTTCTTTCTACAAGGTAGATCCTAGGGATACGTTTTTATCCATCTTGAGAGAATCTTCGGATGTCCTTCAGATACATGCAGCTTGGATGGGATTATCCATGCGATTGCGAAAGGCACAGGAAAACCTTTGGAAATATGAAGCACAATATCGTAGTCTTTTGGCTGGAGAGAACACCGTCATGCCTACATCTCCTATCTCGACAGACGCAGGCATCTATGAAGCTATGGAAGATTTGGACGATCTAGATCTTTGACTAAGGTACTTATTTGAGAACGTACCTCATCACCAGAACCAAGTCAAATCTCCTCGTAAACTGAGGGACGGGGCGCCATGGAATGAAGTGCTCGTATTACCGAGCAATTCACTGGAGAATGTTCATAGCAAACTACCGACAATCATCGAACAAGCGCGCGACGAACAAGAGGATATGTCCCGAGTAAAAAGAGGAAAGAGGAGGATAACGGACGAGTTTGTTAGCCCACCAACCTCTCCTCAAGCTTTGAATGTGGGATATGGTACTCCATTCAAGTCCAGCTCGCAGTTCTTTGTTAGACCAGGTGGAATACCTCTACCACCTCCAGAGACGGCGTCGCAACCAAATATATTAGTAGGTTTAGGCCTTCCACACACACCAGCCTTCGAAAACATTCCAAATACGACACGGGTCTCAGCCCATGTTCAATCTAGAGCTTCGAATCCCTTCGAAGGTCGACCACTACCTCCTCATATGGCAGACGTTCAACAACCGAGGGAGGATCTAGGTCAAGCAATTTCCGCTTCGACAAACCAACATCAACGCCCCATAGAATCTAAATCGGATGGAGGATCTTCGCTGCATCAATCACAGTCAGGTAACCAGGAAAGGAGGAATCAAGGAAATCCTCCCGAAGGTGATCCAGATGGGTCAGATGATGACGACAGTGGTGACGACCGCCCGCGCAGGAATGACAATCATGACCGCAATAGACAATCCAATAACGCTCAATCTTCCTATCCTTCTAACGGTGGAGGAGGGGGAGGTAATCCCGGAGGGGGAGGAGGAGGCAACGGACCAGGAGCTAATGGGCTCAATCCGAACTTACAACCCCAAGGGAATGCACCCTACGGAAATTTAGTAGCTACAATTAGGAATGAATTGAAGCAGGATCAATTACCTGTGTGGGATGGCAATAAGGATACAGCTATCGAATACTTCTGGAAAATTCAACAGTTAGCGGCCCTAGACGGAGACATACCAGTCGCTCTCGGATACTGGCTATGGAAGAGTTTAAAGGAAAATTCCAGGATTTGGATGTGGTTTACTACTTTGCCCTTCTCAGAACAATCTAGGATGAGAACTCATTATTTGCACTACTTGAAAGGTATCAAGGACAATTACCTGGGTCGGTCTTGGCAAATTAGTATGAACCGAAAATACGAAAGTCAAACTTTCCGTCAAGAAGGATTCGAAAGGGAATCGCCTCCCGCCTTCATTGTTCGTTGAATAATGCACACACGGATGCTAGTTGCTTCGGATGACGGGGGGCCTACGGAAGTTTACTTAGTAATGCAGAAGGCTCCGATATCCTGGGGACCAATACTAAATCTGGAAACGGTCCACTCGACGTCCTTATTATATTCGAGAGCTATGGATCATGAATTAGCGTTAGTACATGCAGCGAAGTATGAATCATCGAACATCATCACTTTGGACAATTTGCTACAAACGCTCCGTAAACTTGGCATCTCAGTGGATCGAAATCGTCCTTATGAACATTCAGTCAGGAACGCCGAGAGCAAGAGTTCGACAAAAGAATCTGGGGGGGACGTCATTCACGAAGCGTTTCTGGGACAACTCAGCCATGATGAATGCACGCAAGAAATCACTTCGGATCTGGATGTGCTAAAGGAAGCCTTTCAAGTTTTCAAGAAAAGGCAAAGACTCCCCCCAAAGGGAGGTTACCCCTACAGTAAAAATGACCATGTAACCACCAAAATGGGAAGGCTGCCTCCTTCTCCATGCAAAGTCTGTGGTAGCGACAACCACTGGGACAAGGAGTGCCCGGATTGGTCCTTCTATGAAGCTAAGCAGTTAAAATCAGCTTATCGCATTGAGGTGGAAGAAGATGACGACTTAGAAGGATTTTATTGCAGCGTCTATGCAATTCTTGTAACCGAACGCCTCATCTCGGAACAAGGCAAGAATTCAGAGCAATTGGGTTTTGATCAGGCTGTTCTAGGTAGTGAGAGCGAAAGTCACTCGAGAGAATGTAAGTCCGATAAACCTGTAGATTCTTGGAAGAAGCAAACCGTGTTTATGGAAGAAGAAGAAGAAGAATTCTGGATGGAGTACACTAATATCGAAAAGTCCGAAAAGCACCTGCTGTATCAGGTAGGGGATGAAGACGATGAGACTTGCAAAAGAGAAGCTATGTCAGCTCACCAAGGAGGCGATGAACCAATCGATTCTACCAGTAACAAGGACCTTCCTCGTGCGACATCAGAGCAAACGGACTCTGTTCAGGATGACTTTCCACATCCATCCACACGGCCGCAAGAAATCAAGGATCCTACAGAAATCGCCGCTTCTCTTCCGCCTCCAGCTAAAGAGAAACTTTTCAAACTACCTAAGCGAAGATCTCGACGTGAAGGAACATCTGCAGTGGGTGTTTCAGTGTTATCTACCAGAGGTTTTGTTGGAAGTTTAAAGAACGTGGAAGTAGACCTTCGCTTAGATTCATGCACCGACATTACCCTCATTTCTTACGAATTCTACGAATCATTGATCGTCAAACCTTCTATAAAGCAAGGAATGAGGCTCCAGTTGTGGCAATTGACAGATAAAGACTCGAAGTTGAAGGGATTTGTTCGAATACCTATCTTCATGACGACGGAAACTGGAGACATCCTGGAAACAGAAGCGGAAGCATACGTGGTACCTAATATGACTGTACCCATCTTATTGGGAGAGGACTATCAACAATCTTACGAGATGTCAGTAACTCGAAATGTGGAACTAGGGACTCACGTAGGATTCAGACACCACGATCATCGGATTCGTGCAGTTGCAGTGGAGAGAACAAATGACTTCGGCCGACTTAGGCAAAGCACGTATATGGTTAGTCAGTTCATAAAGAGGCAGTTTCACCGCCGCAACAAAGCGAAGAGACACAAGCAAAAGCTGAAGTTCGGGACTGAGGAAAGAACGGTACGAGCGGCTGAAGATTACAAACTGAGACCACACAAAAGCAAAAACGTACGAATAGAAGGCCACCTAGGCGAGGATTGAGAGTGGTTAGTCCAAAAGAACTTGCTAGCCAACGCGAACAACTCGTTTTTCGCGGTTCCCAATGTCCTAATTTCCGCTGCTAACCCTTGGGTGCCAATTGCGAACCCGACCGATCATCCCCGGTACATATGAAAGGGTGAAATCATAGGTACTTTGATGGATCCTGCGAGCTTCTTCGACACTCCAAAATCAGCAGAAGAACTTGAAAAATTGCAAGCAG